CACACACACACACACATAGAGTATGAGTGGGGAAGGGGCAAAGAGAGAGGGAGACACAGAATCCAAAGCAGGCTCCAGGCTCTGAGCTGTCACTACAGAGCCCGATGTGGGGTTCAAACCCATGAGACGTGAGATCATGACCTGAGCTGAAGTCAGACGCTTAACCGACTGAGCCACCCAGGACCCCCAAAATGTGTATTTATTTTGAGAGAGAGAGAGAGAGAGAACACATGAGAGTAGGGGGAGGGGAGGGACAGAGAGAATCCCATGCAGCCCCTCACTGCCAATACTGAGCTCAAGCTCACAAACTGTGAGATCATGACCTGAGCCGAAATCAGGAGTGGGATGCTTAGGGGCACCTGGGTGGCTCAGTCCGTTAAGTGTCCAACTCTTGGTTTTGAGTCAGGTCATGACCTCAAGGTTTTGTGGGCTTTGTGCAGGGCCCAAGTTGGGCTCTGCACTGGCAGCACAGAGACTGCTTGGATTCTCTCTCTCCCTTTCTCTCTGCCACTCCCCTGGTCACACTGCCTCTGTCTCTCAGAATAAATAAATAAACTTAAAAAAACAAAAAAGAGTGGGACACTTAATGAACTGAGCCACCCAGGTGCCTTCAGAGGTCATTTTTTAAATCTTAACACCTATCAAGTTTCCAGTGAACAAAGCTAGAAAGTTAACTGAAGGTCAAATTCTCATGCAGGATGGGAAGAGGTTTTGTTACCTTTTCACCTAGTGTTTTTTCATCAGTCTGGAAAGTCTCAGGTTTGATTCCTCTTCACATATTACTTCTGCCTCATTTTGACGTTCTTGTTCTTTGAGGACTCCAATTAAACATTTGTTAGACCTTTTCAACATCATGTCATTATCCTCAAACCTGTCTCCAATATTTTCAATCATTTTCCATTTTTTTCTTTTGTTTCCTCTGTGCTTCATTCCAAACAGCCATCTGTTCTGGTTATTTTCTCCTAAACTGTGTGTAATATACTAGAAAAACCTATGCATTGAGTCCACCTCTCAATTCTGGAATAGAGTTTCTGCTAGATTATTTTTTTCAAACTTTTTGCTTTTTAGTGTAAGCATGCTTTTTATTTCAGTCTTCTGACTACATGTTGATCATTTTTTTCCGAAAAATTATCTGTGTGGGGTAATTTGAGGTTTGGAGTGATGATACCTTCATTTGGAGAGAACTTTAGTTTGTTTCTGCCCGGTGCCTATAGCTTGCCACTCTAGGACCCGTTTATTCAATATACAAAGCTTGAGGTTTTATGACTACTGTTAAATCTGATTGCAATCTGTGGAAGTGCTAATTGACTTCTGGTTTATCTTCACCCTATAGGGTCTTGTGTTAAATACGTGCAGTGTTTATTAGACTTTTCATCTTCTGTGGCACTACATTTAGACCTATTTCTCTCTTGCTCAGCAATCCTGCAAAAGTCGTCATTCATTTTACAGATTTTACTTTTGGATCATTAAATGCCTTCAGGACAAATGTTTGGTTTCACTGCCTGAAATACTTCTTTCTCAGATTTCAGCTGGATCATTTCTTATACAGTATTGGGCATGTGGTTCTGCTTTTCTAAACCCAGATTTTTTGGTTGTTTTCAGGTGGTGAGTTGGATCAAATTACCAGGTGTTTATTATATATGCTGTGTGAAACCATCCTTGCATTACTAAGGTAAGAGCTGTTTATAAGATAGATGGAAGAACTAATTTTTGTCTAGTTTTGGCATCAAAATTATTATGGCACTTAAGAATAAGTAGAGAATGTTTCTTCATTTTTAGTTCTCTCTATAGGATTCAAGATCAGAGCAGCAGTTGCTTCTTGTGGGAACTTGGACCAGGAAGGGGCAAGAAGTAACTTGGAACTTTCTGGCCTGATGCAATGTTCTGTATCTTGATAAGCATTTCTCAAGACTAATTGAAGAGTTTACTTAAGATACGAGGATTTCATTTTGTGTAAATTATGCCTTAGTAAAAATTATTGTTCAAATATTAATAATTGTTGAATCTAGTTGAGATAAAACAGGTGTTCATTATATTATGTTTTCAACTTTTCCTGGTGTTTAAAAATTTCAGAATAAAAAGTTGGGGATATGAAATTAAAAGATAAATTAATTGTTCAGTTTCCTTCATATTAGTTTCAATAAAGGTCAAGATCAAACACTATTAAGTGTTAAGGAGTGAAGAAATGTGATTAAAATGTATGCTAGGCAGAGGAAGAAAGATGGCTTGGAAATATAGGAGGCTTGAAAATCAGGATTATATGGAGAGAGGAAGAAATCAGTGGAAAAGAGATGTTGAGATTAGGGGAGGGTTGATGGGTTTAGAGATGGGAAGGAAAAGGATTAACAAGACAGGTGCTTGGAACTGAATTAAAAACTTCATGCACAGTCCAACTAGGTTAAGTCTTTTCTAAAGACACTGGTATCTATCATATGGGCATAGGAGTGTCTCTACATAATTTTATTTTGGTTTGTGTTTATCAGCTGTTAGATATAAAAAGTTTATCATCTATCACTTTCATAAAGTTATGTTCATAAAGTTATGTACCTTATCTCATTTAATCCTTCACCATCATAGGTCAGGAATAACCATTCTTGTTTTATAGATTGAAAATGAGGCTGTGAGTTTGCTAAAGTTACATACATAGCTAATAAGTGAAAAAGCCACTCCTGAGACTTCTGACTTCATGTATTCTCAGGACACTTTAATTATAATACTGACGTTTTAAAATTGGAGCTAGATTAAGGGGGGGGCGGATCAGTCAGGTAATTGCCTTGAATCTCAATCCATAAAAACTGTTAACACATTTTATCATTGAAAATATAACGAGGGGGACGCCTGGCTGGCTCAGTTGGTGAAGTGTGTGACTTCTGATCTCAGGGTTGTGAGTTCAAGCCCCACATTGGGTGTAGAGATTACTGAAAAATAAAGTCTTTAAAAAAAAAAATGTAATGAGGAGAAAATTGTATTTAATGTAATTCTTCTCTGGGGCAATAGTTCTGTGTGTGGCCAGAGTGGTACTCTGGTATGTGGCCTCAAGTGGTGTAAGATTATCACACCTTCTTCCTCCCAACTCTGCTCCAAGGACATTTCAAGCCACATTATAAGGAAGTTAGGGGTGCCTGGGTGGCTCAGTCAGTTAAGTGTCTGGCTTCCGCTCAGGTTGTGATCTCGCAGTTTGTGGGTTTGAGGCCTGTGTCGGGCTCTGTGCTGACAGCAAGCTCAGAGCCTGGATCCTGTCTTTGGATTCTGTGTCTCCGTCTCTTTCTGTCCCTATCCTGCTCATGCTGTCTCTCTCTTAACAATAAGTAAAACATTAAAAAAATTTAAAAAAATAAAATAAAAAAATAAGGAAGTTAGATTCAAGTAGGTGTAGAGATTTCTTTCTTATGAATAGGATATACAAATTTATACTAGAGCTAAACTCTTTGTGACAGTAAAGAGACAGGCATCTTCTCCACCTTTTACCACTCAGGCCTTCCTTAAAACAAGTACTGAATGATTATTCAGAGTATGGTTTAGAAAAGATGCCAAATTACTAATCTGGTCTAGGGAGACAAAGTAGCATCCTATTTCAGATACTACTAATAGAAAATCCATCTAAAACTGTCTGAAACAGTAATGGAAGGGTACTGGTTTAAGAAACTTGACAAGTACAGAGGTCAAAATTAATTCTGATTTTTTTTTAGGTGATTCATGTCTTTGAGATGGGTTGGTCCTCAGGCTGGCAAACCCTCGGAGAGGCTGTGCTTCTCTTAATTTTGTGTTCATGTTGGTCCTTTTATGTGTTGGAAGCTTCTTGATGCAAGGGTTGTATTATATGGTATTCATCTTTCTTACTCCCTCAAAGCTGCTAGTTCACAGAGGCCTTCACGTAATGCCTGTTGAACAATGTAAAACTCCACTGAGGTATAAACCAAGGCCTCAGGAGAATAAGCGAATATCGAGAATACGCCAAGCAAAGACCACAAAGTTCATGGTAGAGAGCCAGCGTTAGAACCCGCCCTAGACACCGTTCATTCTTTTATTCATTAAACACACAGGCGGGAATGGGAAGAGGCAGTAGGCAGGAACCAGATTAAACAGGGCCTTAGAATCTTAAAATTCTTTCGTGGGTGGGTTTCATCCACTTCTTCAAGAAAATCTGAACCCGGTGAGTTTTCTGAACCGCTTGACTCAGCATCTTCTCTCGTCCTTTATCAGCACGTCAGGGGTGCCATCAAGCTTCCTTCCGTCTATTCTGCCCTTGGCATTTCATACTTTGCCGGCTATCTGATTTCCCTGACCCCTCGACTTTTTAAAACCAGGATTCTTCTGGGCGCTCTTATTTCGCTCTCTTATTTCACGTGTCTCGGGTCCCACCGCCCAACCCTCTCAACTCCGCAGTCTATGACATTCAGTCGCCCTTGAAAGTCTGAAGTCAGCCACGTTAGTACTTTCAGGATATTGCCAATCCAAAGAGATCTCACCAATCCTGCACCATCAGATCGGAACAATAGCTTACCGGACCCCCATATTTTGATTGTTCCGCTACTACAATGGGGGATCGTTTTATCTGCGGCTGCTTCCTCCAGCTACAGCCACCGTGTGGAAGGGCACCGTTAGAATGTTCCCGAAATGCGGCCGTCAGGAGTCCCGTGCACCTCTTCTTCGTCTGTGCCGCTCCCCCGGCCCAGACGATCCCGTAGGCCGGCGGGTAACGCTCAGTCGCCAGAGCGCTTCCAGGGGAGAGAGGCGCCGCGCCGGGCCGAAGGGTGCACGGCCACCGGCGCGGGCGGCGGAATGCGTGCGGGAGGCGGCTAGGCCGCGGGAGAGGGCGGGAGCTGACGCGCCGCGAGCGCAGCGCGCCTGGAGCCCCGGCGGAAGACGTGGGCGGAAGGTGGTGGGCCCGGGGGTGGGGGGCGCCGGAGGGCGGGGCCCGCGCACCCCAGAGGCGGAGCTCCCGCGCGGGTCACGTGACAGGCCCGGCGGCGGCGGCGGCGGCGGCGGCAGCGGCGGCGGCGGCGGTAGCGGCAGCGGCCGCGGCGTCTTCAGCGGCGCCCAGTGCAGGATGGTGCTGGAGGCGGCGGCGGCGGCCGTGGTGGCGGCGGCATCGTTGGCGGCAGCGGGAGGGGGTGCTGTGGCGGCAGCGGCGCCCGCGGGTGGTGTAAAATGGCGGATTTCGAGGAGTTGAGGGTAAGCGGGGGCGCGGGAGTGGAGAGCGGAGGCCGCGGGGGAGGGGAGGCGGGGAAGCCGCAGCGTCGCCGGCCGCCACCTTCTTGTTTCGCGGGGACCGGTTGGCCACTAGCCCGGCCCGAGTCCTAGCGGGCTCACGGGCGGGCGGGGGAGGGGAGCGAGGCGGCCGAGGACGCCCGGGCCGCGCGGGGGCGGCTTATCCTGAGCCCCGGCCAGCGGTCGGTGGGTCCGGCCGGGGGTCCGCACACCTGACGCGGGGCCGGGGCCGCGGGCGGGAGGGGCTCGTGGGGACCCGACTGCCTTGTTTAAGGGCTGAGGTGGGAAGCTGGATTTGCTTTTCCACCTTTACGGGGTGTACGTGTGCGTGGCGATTCAGAAGTCTACACGTTACTCACTTGGTGGGAGACTGTTTTCTGAAATGTGAAGTTGCGTTTAGGAATCCTCTCCTGGGGCTGATGCTACTGTTTAGTGAGATCTGTCACGAGAAAGGCCCCTTCCACCTACCAGCGCTTCTTCTTGGAGAAAAGCGTGGTCTTTGGGGAGCAGTGCCTTTAATAATCGACCTTAAACCTTGACTGTTTTCCTAGTGCCGTGGTTAGACACCCGCAAAGGCCATGTTGTCAGGAGGTTTGTGAACTCGTTTTGCTCTTGAGGGAAAACATTCTTTCTTCGTAGCCTTAAAACAAGGTCACAACTTTATTATTGATATCTTTGTATAGTAGAGGTTTGAAAATGGGTGTGCTGGGGATGGAACGGAAAAAGATCTCTTTTCCCCGGCTGATAACCTTCGGAGTCCTCAACTGAAACAAAACTGTGGACAACGAACAGGGTTTATTTTTTATGGATCGCTGAATTCCTGGCGACATAAATGAAATATTTAAGGACGGAAACCCTGATTAAAAAAAAAAAAGTCATAGGAGAGATAAATGTGAACTTGAAATTAACTGCAGTCTTTTTGTGTAACAGACGTAGGATATTAGGGTTACTTTTTTTGGAGTGAAAAGGAAGAGGGATCCGGTAAAAGATTCAGTTTTGTATGTTGTTTTTTCCACGAGATGGAGTCGGGGAAGGATGTTGGCCGCTCACCTGGTCTGTATTGGTGATTCCGATGTAAAGGGAGAGTGTGTTATAGTTTGCAAAATACCTGCCATTTTCCCTTCTTTTGTTTCAAAAAGAATTACTTAATTCCTAGTAAAGAGAAAAGTACGTTCATGCATTTTATGCCCTGTATTATTTATGCGGAGAACCTTAATAGTACGTAAGGGGTGATCGAATTGGTAAGTGTATGGGGGTTTTTGTGTTTCAGAGCCCCAGCTGTGGAGCTTTTAACACCTGTGGAGCTTTGGAAACAGCCAGGCCTTGTGCCTCAGCTATGTAAATTAATATATTAGGCTTAGGATTGGTTGAGAAGACTGAAGTTTGAGGTTAATTTTTTTTTTTAACTTGCAGTATCCTTTTAATTTTTGCATAGTAGTATATGCATACAACTTATTCTCTTCTAAGGTTTTTGTTGATGAAAATTTTCCAAGTTTTGTATTAGATTTTTATAAATGTTGTTGGTCAGAACTTAATACAAAAAGGGAGGATTTATTTACCAGTGTAGGGCAAAAAGGGCAGTCAGTGCTGAGGTTCTAGTGGCACTGCAAAGTGGTTGGAAACCAGAGCAGCATTTTCTCTTTGGGTCTACCAGTCTCTTCTTCCTTTTTTCCCCTTCACCTCCTTTCCCTCTTTGGCCCTCTCCTTCTTCCCCTTCCCTCATCTTACCCTCCACAATTTGTTTTGTGGGTCAGCTGCATCATCTCTTTCTGTAAAGCAGCTGCCTTTGCTTCTCCCTGGACTTGATGGAAGGCGGCCCCTCTTGCACAGTTCACATAAGGTGCCCAACAGAGACTGACTGGGGAGAGTTTTCAGGGGAAGGGAAGGTGTGCAGATAGATGCTGGAAGAGTTATCAACCCCAGTCTTTGCCGTAGTTGCTCAGCAGCATCCTTGACATTTACAGGTGAGCTGTCTTTCTCTGTGCCCTGCCCTGCCCTGTTTCGAACAGTGATGATGATAATGATAATGGCAGGTATCCATTGTAATATAGTGGCTATTACGTGCCTGGCTCTGGTCTAAGCACTTCATATACTTGTTTAATTCTCGTGACAGTTGTAACAGAATTGTTCCAATAAATTGTCAGAAGCAATTGAGACCGATTGAATAACCTGACAGAGTTTGAGCTGGAAGACCTGGGGTTTTTAATCTCAGATGTCCTGCTTTAGAGTCTTTCTTACTCTGTGCAGTTTCTTTCAGGTCCATGTGGTGCTGCTAGCCATCATCTTGTAGTCTATGAGCTAAACTGAATGATAAATAGCCAATGCCCTTCTTGTGTGACATATAATACTGGAGGGGAAATAGCACGGCTGACTGAAAATCTAATAGAAAGGAAAAGGGGAAGACACATGTAGGGCATTCTAAATGGTCTCTGTTTTAGGATATATTCTGAGAATCAGAGATAGTCAAGTAAATTAAAGGACCAGGAAAAATGGCCAGCATTTAGTTTGTTTAACTTGGCAGTAGAAAAAATAGCCGACCTGGATGTCACATATTTGGCTGTGTTACTGCTACTGAGAGGCTTTTCATTGTCTTTATCCATCATCATTCAGGGCTACTCCCTAGGGGCATGTTTAACCAGAGCAGGTCACTCTGGCTCTGCTGCCCTCTCCTGCACTGGAGGTCAGGAATTCTGGGAAAGGTCATCCTCACTGTTCTTTAGTGACTCCTGTGCCTTTGCTTTGTAAGCTTGGGGTGGGGGTGGGGGATATTTGATGAGCCAACGCCTGTGGAACCTTAAGAAGCTGCCAGATGATTTTAGTTTTTGAGACTGCTATGTAAGCCAGTACCAGAGGTCTTGTCCGGTCATAGCAGAATATGGCAGCCCTATGCTTTGCTACTTTCATTTTAATAGAATACCAGCCCACCTTTCTTCTAGTTCTTCTGGGAGAGAGGATCTGACTGGCTGAGTTTAGGTGTGGGTTCACTGTGTTCTAATCATCTCTGGCCAGAAGGTTAGAGTCCTATTACACAGACCTGACTCATGAGATTATCTTGATGGGTTGGGGGAAAGGAAAGAGCAAGTTCTCTGTAAATGGAAATTGTGGGCTGAGTAGTCAAGGATGATTATAATCATGCATCATGTATTTGAAACTTCCAAGGTGCTAGAGAAGAAATTATTTAATTCACTGGTTGCTCATTTATAGCATTTATGTTGGTAGAGGTTTGTAAATTTACTAGTTAGCTAGTTGTGAAAAAACCTGGAACAAGCTCATAAGATCTGGTGGCATGAACCTCTCTTATTGCTAACCTCCTTTCTCCCCACAGTAGTCTCTAGCAGAACTAAGCAGAGGGAGCAGAGGCAGAAAAGTAGGGGTTCTCATTCCTCAGTCCCTCATTCCTTCAACCAGAGTGCTTTTTTTTTTTTTTTTTTTTACCCTTGTGTTTCTCCTCCAGTTGTGTAATTGTATACTGTGGGCTGCTGGTGCAGGCTTTTGGCAGTCCTTAAAAAGGCTTCTACTAGGGGTGCCTGGGTGGCTCTGTCAGTTAAGCTTGCAACTCTTGGTTTCAGCTCAGGTCATAATCTCACGGATTGTGGGTTTGAGCCCCGTATTGGGCTTGCACTGATAGCAGAGAGCCTTCTTGGGATTCTGTCTCGTTCTCTCTCTACCCCTCCCCTGCTCAAGTGCATGCACCCCCCCCAAATAAATAAGTAAACAAATAAATAAACATTAACAAAAAGTTTCCTGCTACTTTAACCTGGTTAATTCACTCTCCTTCTTACCACTTGAGTATGGGGTTGGAGGGGGGAACTGTTGCAGTAATTTTTTTTAAGCCTCTCTTTCCTGTATGCCTCATCCTCATCCTTTTTGTGCATTGAGTTTATATCTCCCTGTGGGTCAAAGAAAGAGAGTGAATGTGTGTGCAAAATCTTGATGTGTATTTGGGCTAGTGAAAGGGTGAGTGATCATAACTTTCTTGACAGATACTGATAAACCAGATGCAAAAGATCTTTTATGCTAAGAGTCTTAAGTACTTCCATAACAGCGATTTTCTACCTATAAGGCTTGAGGATTTGTTTCTTTACACCAGGAAGACTTGCTGTTCTGGTAGCTTCAGGTGCTCTTGGGATATAGAAGGAGCATGAGAAGTTAATTTGAGGATTTGAGGTTAGAGTCCATCTCTCATACCCCCCAACTAATGGGCAAGAAAATAGATTAATATATCTGATAGATGTAACAGAGTCTACTGTGTGATTCAAAGCCATCAGTGGACACAACTAAAATTTCCAAGATTACTTGAATTTGTTTGTTCCTTACGTCTGTTCCCTCCCTCTAATAAACATATCTTTTCTGATAAAGCTGGCACTTTTCTAACTATAATATTCTCCAGATGTTTCTCTTTTTGTAGCATTTTGCTTTTGTTTTTCTGGATTGCATTTTAGCTAGTCTATTTAAATAATTTTTTTTATTGAGATATAATTCACATACCATAAAATTCAGCCTTTTAAAGTTTTTTTTTTAATATTTTTATTTATTTCTAGGAGAGAGAGAGAGACAGCGTGAGCAGGGGAGGGTCAGAGAGAGAGGGAGACACAGACTCCGAAACAGGCTCCAGGCTCTGAGCTAGCTGTCAGCACAGAGCCCGACGTGGGGCTTGAACCCACGAACCGCGAGATCATGACCTAAGCGAAAGTCGGACGCTTAACCGACTAAGCCACCCAGGCGCCCCAAATTCAGCCTTTTAAAAAAATGTTTATTTTTGAGAGGGGGGAAGAGTGCTGAGAATCCCAAGCAGGCTCTGTGCTGTTAGCCCCAGTGTGGGACTTGAACTCACAAACTGTGAGATCATGACTTGAACTGAAATTCAAGTTGGATGCTTAACTGGGCACCCATAAAATTCAGCGCAAACTTTAAAGTAGTTTTGGTTTATTCACAAAGTTGTGCAAGTATCACAACCATAATTC